GTTTACACTGTGGTCCATAAGTCTGTTTTATTATGCTGAGTCAGTGTTTACACTGTGGTCAATAAGTCTGTTTTGTTATGCTGAGTCAGTGTTTACACTGTGGTCAATAAGTCTGTTTTATTATGCTGAGTCAGTGTTTACACTGTGGTCAATAAGTCTGTTTTATTATGCTGAGTCAGTGTTTACACTGTGGTCCAGAAAAAGCTGTTCATTTATGCTGAGTCAGAAAATGTACTTTAGCGGACTTGCTCGGTTTCTGTTTTCTTGCGCTCATTTAAGCTTTTAGCTACTGTCCTGCTAATTTAAGCTTTTAGCTACTCTTTTGGTAATGTTTTTGTTGTAACGTTTAAAATCAGTTTCATTTGTCACAGAACTCGGCAATCACGCTCTTATTTTGCTCTAAATTATTCAATTATTCTTATTTTGTTTTGMTTTAAAAATAAAAACCTCAACATGCGGCTGATTAAATAAAATGTTCTGATCTGACCTGCTCTGAAGGCTTTGGTCGTTTTCCTCCGGAGCTCCTCGGCTGATGCTCTGAGGTTCGGGTCCTTCTGGAGTCCCAAACTGAAGACTTTGGCTGTGAAGTTGTTACAGGTGGACGGAACCTCCCACAGAGGTGGAGGCTCGTTGGCAATCTGACAAAAAAAAAACAAAAAAAACTTTTTTTGTTTGTTTGTCAAGACGTTTGAGGAGGTTAACGTGGACCAGGCGTCTCACTGACATGGAGGCACAGAGGCTGGGAGAAGAAGCGGACCCACGGCTGGAACCCGTTCAGCATGTGCAGCAGCATGCAGCAGCTGCTCCACACGTCGGCCTCGGCACAGACCGGATCACCTCGGGCCACCTCCGGGGCCATGTGGGACTCTGTGCCCGGGAGGACGGCTCCTGTGGAGAAGATTAATTTAAATGTTTTTATTTTGTTTCATTTTAAAAGGTGTTGATGCAGGATGAACACTTGATGCTGTTTTAGTTATTGGGATTGTTACAAGTCATGTTTCGCTAACTTAATCCCAGATCCCTCTAGACCAGGGGTTCTTAATCTTTTTGTCCTCGAGGCCCAATTTGTTGGACATAAAGTGGCACGAGGCCCAGTCAGACATTACCAATGTATAATTATTCCAAATCTTGGTTTAATTTGTATTGTATTTGCATTATAACTAAATTAAATACACTTACAGTTTAAAAGAAAAAATTCTGTTAAATAATCACAAGACATGATTATGACAAACATTTTTATATTGTAACCTGCCCATAACAATTATTTGAACAAATACAACGGGCAGTCAACAGACCACTCAGGCTCATCAACACAAAAATAACTTTTTTCTTATTTTTTTAACAAAAAATAACAAAAATAGACAATTCAATAAATAAAATTGTGGTTATACATTCAAAACATTCAGTGTAAATGTTTCAAATAAAAAAAATACTGTAAAAATGAATTTGATAAATTGCAAATTTAAACTTTTTAAACTTTTGCATGGTAGAACCAGAAGCTGCTCTTCATATTAGTGACAATAACAGTAACAACAGCTGTTTGAC